GCTAATTTAAAAATGTAAGGAGCAATTTTTTCACCTTGTTCCTTTTTCAAAATACTTCTAATGGTGCTGTAATTCTTGGGTTCCATAGTAGATCTGATGTAGATGAGTTTCATATTAACTATTTTTGTCTAGATGAATATCATGATCACATTACATCAATAATACAGTTTGTGATGTTAAACAAACATTATTGATCCCTGAAATCTTTGATAATACCAATGTTCACTTTGTCTGGTTTTGTTGTAGTATGTCCCATTTACTCAGAAGATCTACACAAATTTGGACCAAAAATCCCTGTATGTTTAAAGGATAATGTTCAATTGCCAAAATTTTTTTGGACAGGATTTTGATGTTGGTTGCATATAGGGTTAAAATCCTGATTTGGCAACAATTGTCTTGACTGATTAAATAGTTGTTATGTAGTCAGTTTAGCCAAATGCTCATTTAGGTTACACAGCCAGCCCTGATCCATATCCAGGCTGATCTTTATGGTGAATATTGTTAGATTTCCAATTACTGAGGATTACTAGTTGTAAAAGTTTTTTATAATAATTTATTCCAATTTGTTGAAAAGATTAGTAATAATAATAACCAAAGTAACCACAGGTATACATGGGATGGTTTTGCCAAAAACGTAACACGTAATAACGTAGTTACGAAATTAATTACGAAATTATTCATTATATGTAGAAAGAATTGGCAACGATACTATCTCTCTTTGGAAATTTTCGAAAGAAAAGGAAATTTCGTTCCACAAAATTGATTGCGTTGTATAAATCATTGATTATGATTTATGATTATGATTATGATTACTCTCCCAATTTTTTTTAAAACATTCAGAGGTTGTATAAGCAAAAAAAAAAAAGAAAGGAATTGACTCAACAGAATGTTTTGTGCCATGGTCATGGATTGAAAATCATTGTAACTTATGTCAATATTCTATTGATATTAAATGATGCATGAATAGAAGCTGTTGTGGACCATCTTGTGCAAGAGAAGCTATGGATTTTCTTCAATTAAATAATGGTTTTTTACCTCCAATCACAAAAGCTAGAGATGGATATTTCACAAACCCATACACTTCCTTGAGTATTATGATCTTTTGAAAATTCCTGGGTATGATTTGCATTGCCCAACTCTTGTTCAAACAACCTATTCACATCTTTGTTGTTCTGAGTGTAATAAATACTTTCCAACTCTTACTTATTTGACAAATCATAAACAAACAATGCATCCTTCCAGCTGTGGGAAATCTAAAAAACAAAACTCAAGGACTCTTGATGATTTCTCTGTTCTCCCATCACAACAAAAGCAACCTCTTTTTGATGATATGTATCTAAGGGAATGTATATCAGATAAAGAATGATCAATTCAATTACAACACTTATGTATGTAATAAATAAATAATTTTTTAATTTTTAAAAAAAAATTCCAAGCCACAATAATTAATGTGTGACCTAAGATATTCTGTTACCCCCCCCCACCCCTAAAATATTAGCTAATATGGGGGATTTCCAGGAATACATGGTTAGGGACCTCTCTGACCAAAATTGAGTTTTTTGCATAATATATATCTATATTATAAGGATTACAATTGGTGAGAAAATCAGATCATATTTGTTTAATAAAAAAATGAGTGATCGGGTAACAAAGAACTTTTTAAATTAATTTGTGTAAAATCTAAAAAGAGATCTACAACCCTATTTTTTATTGTTGCACCAAAATTCGATAAATAATATATATATATAAATAATACAAACAAAAAATAATAAATATTAATAATAAAATGACAAGTAATGATAATAAAATTTAATTAGGGTTTGGGCAAAGGATATCTTTATATGGATTATCTACATGCTGACAAATGTTATTATATAAATATTTTTACGGTCATCTGTTAAAGGAGCAACTTCAAGAAAATTCAATTGTGCATTTTTATCAAATCCATTATTTTTAAGGAGATTATAAGAATATTCTTCTCCACCAGATTTTTTTGAAAAATAAACTATTCCAATATTATTTGGTGAATTATTAAAGTGAAAATGATAATGCTTTTTTATAATTGGTAAAGTTCTAAAATGATCTTCTAACAATAAATAAAGTCATACCACTTCCAACCTAGTCTATTATTATATCTAATTGACTTATTATATTTAGATGAATTGTTTATAACTGTCTCTACATCATCACAGTATTTATATGACTGGTCTTGTATAATTTTTTAATAGATCCAAATTTAGCATCACAAATGAATTTTGTATGTCCAGGTATCATAAAATTTATATAAATGTTCTCATACAAACCCAACATTGTTAACCATGACCAAAACCAAAGTGACAAATTGTTTTTATTCTGTCCAGAACAATTATCACATGTGACATAAAGATCTTTTTTATCAACATGATGATTTTTTTGGAGAAAATCAAAAACCATATTTAAAGTTGTGTTGGCTCCCTTTTTTGATTTTCCTTCTGGTAATTCATCTTCTCCTATAGTATAATTTGATTGATCACTCTTAACATCATTTGTATTACATATACCAAAAATGTGTATGATGAAAGGGGATTTAAAATAAATTGATCCAACTTGTTGAGGGGAAAATGGAGCTGCAACACTTTGGGCCCAATCATAACAAATATGTGTTATTGTTGAATCATTTGTTCTTTTTTCAATTATTTTATTTATTATAATGGCCTCTTTCTCACTCTGCATCCATTTGATGCTTTTTATATTCAAATTTGATATTTTCTTTTTCATCATCATCATTTGCAAATTTTAAATTTGTCTTAAATGCTTCACAAGTGTCACAAAGGTCAGTTCCAGGTGGTTGGAATTTGATGTATGGTGTTAATTGTTTCCATAGTTTGTAAAATGTAGTATGTGCAATAGGTCTAATGGATTCATATTCTGAATTAAAAGATTTTTTAAATTCTTCATATACTGTGGTATATTTCATATATGTTGGCAAATAAATTATTTCTTCTAATTCATCTCTAATTTTCATAGGAGATGGTAATCCATGTAAATTTGAATATTGCAATAAAAAATTCTTAACTAATTGTGCAATTTCAAAATTAACAATTACATGTGACTTATTTTGAGGAACTTTATTAGTATTACCATGAATACAATCAATCAAACCATCAGTTCTTAAATGATCTTGCAAAGCTGATAATTTTATTTTACTAAAACCACATTGTTTTAAAAAAACTTGTTGACAAATAGTTATTGATGAGTTGTATTGATAATTATAATCAAGTCTTTTTGTTTCATCATTTTCATCATTTGATTTAAAGACCATCAATTGTGTTTTAATACAGAGATCTAGTTCATTTTTATCTAATCCTTTTAATTGGAATTGTCTTCCTAGAAAATTTTTAAGGCCAATTTTTTTAAAACATATTTTATCTTTCTTTTTACAACAACTACAGTTTGATTCATCTTCACCCAAATACTATGGAATTATCTGAAAATTTAATTTTCCCACATGAGTTATATGATTTAGGGTTAGAAGAATATGAACCAAATGAATTGGTGCTTAATACAGTTCAAGATTTGAGGTTATTTTTTGTGATCTTCTAAATTTATGACATCATTATGAATTGATTCAAAATTTAAATACATGATTTAATTATATTTTTTTGATAAATAAAAAAATTCGGCCATTTCACCAAAAATTTATTTTTAATAATTTTTGTCATACGTTGTCTAAAAGTTTTTGGGGTTCAAAACAATCAATTTTCGTGTAACAAATTTTCGGGAGTCATTTTTAGGGTTTGTATTCATGAATATCATAAGGGGGTCACACAGGGTCACACACTATTAAAATCAAGTGATCAACTCATGTTTTTAAGGGATTTTTTGCTGTTTTAATAGTGTGTAACCCCCTTAATGATTAAAGACTAGTGCCGTAATCCAAAAAAGGAAAAAGGATGGTTGCAAAAGTGGTCGCAACCACTTTTTATATGCCGTAAATACAATTACTACCATCATCATAATTTACAGCACTAGTCTTTATTAATGATATTCATGATATTCATGAATAAGTGGCATTTATAATGAAAATGATAATATACATGCAAGTAATGATATCAGCAGTAATGGCATTAGTAACACATGTATGCTAAATGGATTGGTGGAGGTAGCAGCAAAAATGTAAATTTTGATATACAATATATTAAGTTCACTTGTATTACCTAATCGCCGCTTCTTTGACGATATCACGAGTGGTCTTTTTAGTAGCAAGAAATAAAATCGTCTTCTTTTTGTTTCCATTAACATTACTAAATTTTTTGATAAATTTTATAGAATATCAATGTGGAAAAAAAATGATGCAAATAAGGATGATGTGACCGAAGGCAGTATTGAACATGAAGTAGACTCTATTATGGAATTTTTAGAGAAAATTTCTGGTGTACCACTTAAGTGGTAAGAAAACAATAAACAAACAAACAAACAAGTAACCAAAAATCTTATATATATCTATTTATTTAGGGCAGAATTTGCCAGCAATTCATCAACCCATAGAAAGAAAAAATATGGAAATCGACCTGATTGTGCTTTTAATATCAGACCAATAGATTCTTTATGGGTTTGTTGAGTTTAAAAAATCAAACACAATGATGAAGACTTTGGAAGGTTGGTTAGGTTTGTAGTCAACTTGAAAAAAAAGAAGTATTTAAGATTTTGAAATTATCCATTAACCACTATAAATACTTTTAGATTTGCAGTGGATGCAAATGATAAAATTTTTCACAATTTTTCATTAATTAATAAATATCATAGAGAATTGAAAAAAATTTTAAAGTTAAGAATAATATTACTACAATGGAAATGTAAGTTGCATTCTTTTGATTTTGTATTTTTATTCATCAGAAATGCATACTAAGATTCATAGTTATTTTTACAGGATATGAAATGAATGTTTATATGTTTAGTCAACTCAATTTTATGTTAGATAATGAAACACACAAAAAGATCCCAATTGGACAATTGGTAAAATTAGATACATTATTGTATTCACATGGTACACCCACATCCTCAAGTCTATTGTATAACTTATTAAGAAAATTGGTTGACTTAGGGTGCTTATTAAAAGATATAAAAAAAGAATATGAGTCATGTATAAATAGTAGCCTCACTTACAATCCAGAGGACCAAGAAAAATATTAATATGTTTGGTAATATTATAAATCCAAATATTAAGACACCACCACATAAATAATAATAAGACTGGCAACAAACAAAAGATGTCAAAAAATAATTAGTATTAGAAAATTCATTAATAATATTTATTTGCAAATCAATTTTTATCAACAATTAATGATTGAACGCTATGTATAATAATGACCATGGATGTTGTTGCATTTACCAACTATTTTGGTCTTGCCCAATAACAAGATAGAGTAAATGTTTCTCAATAACATTCTCAGTACTATTACGATTCTAGTAAGTTTTTATAAATAAGATCCATTATTGATTGTTGAATGACTTAGTCACGTGACAGACGTGAAAGAATATTCCGAATACAAAAAATCAAAAGAAAATCGTATTATTTTTATAAAATTGATCGCACTACTATTACTGTTATTATTATTATTTTGACCCCTGCAATTCTGGCAATACCGAATGTTTACTTTGTCTGGTTATGTTGCAGTATGCCCCATATAGTCAAGGACATTTATGTCCGTGTGCACTATGAAATTTCATATTGGTAAGGACATTGATGTGTGTGTGAATAAATTGCATCACCAAAGTAATAATCAAGGTAATAATAAATGCTACCAAGACCATGCAAAAATGAACCCAGTTTTGAAAGAAAGAAAGTAATTTATTAATTCCGTCAGAAAAAAAATAATAATAATTGCAAGTCGTAGATTTCCTTATAAATCATTTTGAAAAACTAAAATAAATAATATTTAAATCTAATATATCGAAAGAAACAAAACGTAAAAATGGTTAAAAATGGTCAAACATCTCATGAACACACGGGAGGCTTTGATGACAAGTTCTTTGAAAACTTGAATGCAAATCCAAACTTTATAGCCTTCTCTTCCTGTTCTGAATTTTCCATATTTTTTTTGAAGAGAATTTTAAATAAAATAATCATCCAATTACAATTAATGAATTTTTGGAAGGTGCCTTTGAAGTGGCAGGAATGGAATACTATTTTTTAATACAAGCATTAGAAATTCATTAATTGATACTCTCAGCGAATCCATGAAAAGTTTCACATTCATCACCAAGACTTTTGCGTTATATGGGTAACTCACCCCGAACTTATTGTCGGAGACAATTCGAGGCCAAAAAAAATGCAGAAAAAAATGGGACAGTTGATAACTGCATTCTTTGAAAAAAAGTGGAAGTGATGTTCAGTAGTTAAGAAATGACTGAAGTTGCAATTAGAGACTTGGAGCAGCAGCTTAGAAATGGTAATGGATATAAATTACAGCTTATAGCCGCGCTTCAATTGATAGGGCACAAATTAAGTTAGGAAATTCTATTCCATTTCTAAATCGTAGTTTAGAAAAACCTCAAGTTTTACTAGATGGTGAAGGTCTTTACATAAATTTAATATTGATGATTTTATTAATCATCTTTCATCTGTTTATTTTTCCATGTGTCGGAATTGGAAAGAAACAAACATAAAGTGAATTCTCATTAGATTAATTTAATTGCAATAATAATTTTTCAATCATCATTTTCTAAATACATACATAACTCTACACATAGTTTATTTTTCAAGTAACTACTATCTGACATCAAATTTGGAGGATATTTACAACTATTTAAATTATATTTATCAAATATATAACATTTTATAATTAATCTCTCTATGCTTTCTTTACCATGGATCTCCATGCTTATTAAAAACAACTAAATCATTTGTTTTCTTTCCAGATTTTCTAGAAGATTCCTTGATTAATTTCCTACCCTTAGATACAGTCAAGTATTTTACCAAATTTGGAAATCGAATCTAGAAAAATTGGAACCCCCTTGTTGATCAATTCATATAT